CCCCCCGCACTCCCAAACCCTCTCCCAACCCATCATGACCACCTCCACCATCCCCACCATCCGTCCCACCTATTCCCAAGTCACCTCCGGGGCTTTCCCCGCAATGCCACAACTTCCACCCAACTATCTCCTTGAGGACAACAACCAAATCGACCACACCTGCTACGACACCGCCCCCGATAACCTCAGCTTCAACACCCTCGCGCAGATCGTTCACCTGCTACGTCCGCTCCCTCCGACACCACCTCCCCCACACTGTCATTCCTGACTGTGCGTTCATCTCCCGCATCAAACGAGTATGCCACAAAGACCTTGCAACCGCCCTCGCCCACGAACCCGACATGCCCCTTGCTGACCTCCTCTCTCGCATGCTCCACCACGATCGACTCCTCCACCCCCACCACCAGGCCCCCCCCGGCACCTCCCGCACCCGCTTTTTCCACCACATCACCCCCGAAGACACCACCTCCATCACTTCCTCAGACGAGTTCACCACATCTGACCCCAATGCATCTTTCGATTCACTCAACTCTCCATCCCTCACTTCCGAGGAACTCGATGTCGTCCAGTTCATGAGAATGGAGCGCAGAGATCGCAGCTCCCGACCACCCTCATCTACCCCACCCTCCCGCCTCAAGAAACTCACCCCCGAGGAGCGCACCTACCTCCAAGCAAAAGTGGGGTGCTTCCGTTGTCGCCAATTGGGGCACCAACAAACCAACTGCCCCAACGCCGCACGATTCACCCGTAAGTCCGCCTCCACGCGACCCGCAACCTCCGCATCACCACCCTCGGCAAGCGCGGGCCCCTCCTCATCATGAACACAGTCCCCAGGACACTGACATCAACATTGCATCTGTCAGCCTACCCATCAGTGAAATCCTTCATCGCACCGATGGCCCATCTGACATCGACAATTCGTTTGCCTTCCCCCTCTCCGGCGACGCCCCCTCCACCGGACGATTCCCAAGCATCGCAAACACCTCCCACTGCCTCATGCTCCTCTACCCTTCCTCCACATGCATCCACTGTCACCTTCTCCGATGTTGTTGAGGAACAAGCCCGRCACGATCGGCTTGTCCGCTTAGGCAACGAACAACGCCGCCTCAAGACCATCATCTCCACCACCAACTCACCTCGTTTCCACCTCAAATTCATCCCTGCCACCCTTGGTGCGTCTACAACTGAGTTTCGGGCCCTCCTCGACATTGGAGCCCAGCACGTTGGGAGTTCTTGGTTTGGCGTGGTGGCATGTGGAGGGTGGGGGGGGGGAATCCCTTATTTATTCAAAAATAAGGATAATCGCCAAGATTTAAATAAATAAATAAATAAATAAATAAATAAATAAAATAAATAAAATAAATAAATAAATAGAATAAATTCTGATTTAAATTTATTTTTAAGAAAACGTGAAATTTTGAAAGAAAATATTTTAGAATTACGGGGGAAAAATGAATAAATTCTGAAAAGAATTAGGGAGAGGAAAATTTTAAAATATTTGGCAAGAATTTTTCAAAGGAAAATGTCAACATTTCAGAAAAAAAAGATAATTAATTTTGAATAAAGAGATTAATTCAGTCGTGAATTAATGGAATTTAGTCGAAATTAATTGAGGGGTTTAGAATAACATTTTTAAAAGAAAAGTACTTCCGAATTGTAAAAAGAGTTTCGAATTTCAACAAAAATTGCGAAAAGAAATTGTGAATTTAAAATACTGGTAGAAGGGCCTTTACCCGATATAGGCCTCAGGCCTTGTAAAATAAAGCAGCACGGGCCTTGAAAAAGTAAAGCATTGTGAAAAGGTAACTCGCCAGAGCTCAGAAACGTGAAAGCAGGTCAAAGGTCAAGCTCTCTATTAACAGGCNATGATGGTTTCGACAACGAATTCAGGGCCTATGGGTAGCATGATTGGTGGAGGTCTAGGATATGGGCGGTCGGCGAACTGGAGCGGGGATTCATGGTATTCTTTTAGGTACTCGACATGGAAGACTGGGTGGACACGACTCATGTCAGGGGGAAGTTGGAGTTTGTAGTTGACGGGGGAGGTTTGTTCAATGATGGGGAAGGGACCGAGCCACTTGTTCGAGAGTTTCTTGGACAAGCCTTGTTCGGGTTCAAAACGTTTGGCAGAAAGCCACACTTTGTCCCCTACTTTGAATGACATGTCACGTCTGTGTTTGTTAGTCTTGTTGGCTTGTTGTTCTTGTGTTCTTTCAAGGGTTTCGGTTGCTTCTCTGAGGAGTCTGTTCATTGTTGCTATCCATTCATTGAGAGAGGGGCAGGGGGTGGAGGGGCTGAGCTGCGAGGGAAGCAAGAAATCAGAGGGCACGCGGGGATGGTAGCCAAGGTCGAGGTAGAAAGGGGACATGCCAGTGGAGGGGAAGACAACATTGTTGTAGGCAATTTCGGCGGCTGTGAGAAACTGATCCCAATCGTGTTGGTGTGGATAACAATACATTCGCAGGATTCTTTGGAGTGTATCGTTCATCTTCTCTGTTTATCCATCGGTCTGTGGGTGGAATGCAGTGCTATACTTGAGCGTGGTTCCGTAGGCCGTGAAGAGGTGTTTCCAGAATTGTGAGAGGAAGCGAGGATCACGGTCACTGATGATGTTCTCGGGGAGGCCGTGATGGCGRGCAACATGGTYGAAGAAGAGTGTGGCGACGTCTTTGGCACTGTGCGAGGTCGTGCAAGGGATGAAGTGGGCATGTTTGGTCAAGCGGCAGACAATGACGTAGATGCAATCATGCCCGCGGTCAGTCTTGAGGAGGCCGCACACGAAGTCCATGGAGATGGACTGCCACCGGTGAGTTGGGATGGGCAATGATTGGAGCTTGCCGGGTTTGGCCCGGTTCGAGGGGTTGACAGCTTGACACGTGGGACACGAGCGAATGTATGCCTTAACGTCGGCGAGTAGGGAAGGCCAGTAGAAGTAGCGGGACATGGTGTCGAAGGTCTTTTGGAAACCGAGATGTCCTGTGGTCTTGGCGTCGTGGTGCTCGGCCAACAGCTGAGTACGGAGGCCTCGTGCGTCGGGGATGCAAAGTCGGCGAGTGCCTTTGGTATCGATGTAGAGGAGATTGTTGTGAAGGGAGTAGTCGGGAACTGAGTCAAGATCGCGGAGCTTGTTGTAAATGGTGGCGAAGTCTGGGCAGGACAGATAGCCTTGGGTGTATCGATGATGAAGCGATGGAAGGAGCTGAATATGGGTCATGGTGGCGTAGACTTTCTCGGGGGGCTTGTGGTCGGGTCGTCACGAGAGGGCATCGGCAACGCGGTTGCTTTTGCCGGGGGTATGGCAAATGGTGAATGTGAACTGGGCAAGGAAGTCTAGCCAG